GACAAGCATGAAGAACACAGTCGGTATACTCGTAACCTTGCTAGTATACTCAGTTACGAACAACAATCCCTGGAAATTATTAAACTGGCTAGCGACGCTCTTAATTTAATACAAGTTAAGTATTACTTTTTGGTGTTTTGTTGGCAGTGGACGGGTCTCAAAGGGCAATAGCCTTTTTGGAAGGGGTTGCGATTCGCGTTCAACCACCCAACATTCCTGGTTGCGATCGGGAATGCAACATTAATTCGATCTTTTAATAAGTCCACGATGATGCCTATTAAATTTTAGGTGGTTATTAGTCCAAAGCATAGTGGAGGACTACATACTTTTAAGCATAGACATGGACATACAATGTCTGTCTGTCACGCCGCGTATATCAACCAATCAAATTGTAGGATCATGTGTAACATATTTACGCGCTTTTTTCGCGTTTGATCTTACTCAAAAAAAAAAACGTAAAATTATAGTAGTAATGATATAATTATATTTAAGGTTATATAATTAACAGTATGTATATTTAAGTATATTTAAGGTTACGCAATGTCTGTCTGCCACGCCATGTATCGATTGAACGTTTGTAACGAAGAACGATAAAAAAATTATCTAAAAATAAAAAATAAATAAAATTGTTTGAAATGAATAACGAATAAAAAAATAAACTTATTATATTAAGTCTACCTAATTATGTGCAACAAAGTGAATAAATAATTGTCTTCTGAATTACCACTTGACTTATTGTTGTGGGAACAATAGGGATGGTAACGCGATATTGTGTCGCGACGCATAATAATAACATTGATGGAAAAATGATGTAATAATTGGTAATAGCATGTAATGGGATGGACATGTGGAGTTTTAAGAGGTTCTATATCAGAGATTTGGAGTTTCATTTAGAACACTTGTTTGTTTTTGCATACTCGCACTTTATTAAATAAGTGCTATTTCGCTTCGCACAATAAATCAAGATAAATTCTTTAAAGTAAACACTAAGACCCCATCACTATATTAAAGTAAACACTAAGACCCCATCACTATATTAAAGTAAACATCTTTAAGGAGAGATGCAACATTACCGTGGTGCACCATAAGAGAGTGACACTTGTAATCTTGAGACATGCCTAGAGAGAGAGCAACAGTCAAAAAGATATTAGCAAGCGCACAAAAGTCGGTCAAATCGTAATCTGCCTCAGAGTTAAAGACTTACTTTATTTAGTGCTGAAATCCAAGTGTTCAGATTATTATTATGCAAAGAGTAAACCATTTTAGCAACAGACTCACTAGTGACAACAACATTATACATCGAATTAATTAAAATAAATAAAAAAATGGCCAGTATCTAGCTCCAATATATAGTAATACCCTTTGAAAATACAGAAGTAGGGAAAAGGAGACTTCACATCAAGCTAAAGTGCATCGCGCCCGTGATAATGAAAGCAAACACATGAAAAGAACTATAAAAACCAATGAACAATATGAAGCATGTCTGGTAAGTAATTGTGAACAAAAATGTCAAAAAAGAGCAGAGCATATTTTATGGAATAATAATATAAAACAATTACAAAAACAAGATACTACCACCACCCCACTTTTAGCCATTGACAAACCTGTTACAGTTCTGAATACTCAATGGCTTTCTGAATCAAATCAAAAATTATTAAATAATTTTTGTACTGAGATAAATAAATTAAAGTATAGAACTTGCCCCATGTATAATAAATGCTTTCTATCCATTAATCTTGTTAAAGAAGAATGTCATTATTGCTATTATGAAAAGAATATAATAAAGAATTTTTTTAAAGAAAATGATATGGATCCAGGAGATATATCTAATGAACTTTGGGATCTTACTAATATTGAAGAGATGCTAATGCACAAATATTTCCTATTGTCTCAGTGTATTGCCTTTATAGAGGTCAGTACACATACCATGGGAATGTTATTAATTTTTATCAAGATATAAGCAAGTTTGTAACATGACTCCCTCACAATCCATCATTATTAAATGTGCTTATTGTGCACCACCAATTTGCAAGCATATCAATATTCAAAGATTTTAATATTTGCTGTATTAAAGTTGCTTATGTATTTTGCTAATTGAAGGCAAATAATTATCATTATATTAATATTGTTATTGACAATAGTGTGTTGCAATTATTACTAGACAACAGTTTTATTGATGACCAGCTGTCACAGCTTGAGAATACAGAAAATGATAACTTGAATTATAATAATAATGAATCCATAAATACAATTACATATAACTTCATTGCTGCTTCTATTCTGTTCTATAATGAAAAATGTACTATTGATGATACCTTTACTTGAATACAAACTGATAATATACTTACAATGTAATCAAATATAGATAATAATCCTATCAATAAATTTGAAACATCAGGATATATAGTATATGCCTTCCCAACTTTATATTTGACTGGCAGTGCTGATCTTCATGCAGTACGTGTTAGAATATAAAACCAGCCAAATACTTTCAGCATTTGCTTAAATATAAAGATGAAAGATTTGTACATCATGCCTAATAAAAATATTTTGTACTAAATTTCCTAATAAAATAAAGAGCATTGTAAGAAAGAAATGTTTATGTTAAACAAAATCTGAATAATCAGAAACTTACTGTCAAAGAAGTTTAGAAATAATTATAAATAATAGCCATATAGCAAATCAGGTTATGTGATTCAAAGAATAATTATATAAAACTCAACAGTTTTGAACTAAACGACATCTTGAGCTATCAGATGTAATTAAATAATTAAGATCATATGGAATGATTCTTTTTATATTTAGTACTGCAAATCTACATTGTCAGGTCTTTATAAGTTTATGCTAAATTCAAAAAAAAACTCAGGACAAGATGCAGCCAAGTACCAATATCAAAACTTAATTGATAATCCTTATATTGCTGCATAGCTCTTCAAAAATATTTTAAAGTCTTTTTAGAAAAAGTATTAATTCCTAAATGGAAATTAAAAAATTCATGGTATAGATTTAAATGACAGTATTATGGAAGTACATACATATATGATATTGAAAAAAAGAGAGATGCATCAATAATTGAGTGGAAGAGAATGATGAGAATGATGCAAAAATAGCTAAGGTAATACAATACCTTGATTTATTAATTATTACAATTAATTCAGATCTTGGTATGTCTATACCTAATCATCATTCTTGTCAAAAACATGATAATAAGCTATATTATGATTTGCAGGATTATATTGAACTAATTAACAACTGCAATGGTATATACAATATAATTCTTCATACTATTTTCATATAAATAAAACAAGTAAACAATATTATAGATTTGGATATCCAAAGGAGAACACAAAATATATCTTTATATATAATGATTGTGGCTAACTAGAATTTGTTACAGTAAGAAATAATTCTTATATCAATTTACATGATTGAATTCAGCTTCAGAATTAATGTACAAATATTGATCTAAAGCCTATACTTAGTACTTATTCTATGCTACAATATATTTGTAAGTTATGCAAGTAAATCAAAGCTATGATCTGCAGCCTTCTCAATATTATTAAATCAAATTATTCATAATAGTAAACCTGATAATTTATCATTTAATATATTTTAGTAGTTATTACTTTATACTATTGCAGAGCATGATATTTCTGCACAAGAAACATGCCATCTACTTCTTGGTATTCCACTTTATTATTCTAGTTACCAGTTTGTCTTTCTAAATCTAAGTAAGAAAGTATTTAGGTGGCTTTATGGCATTGGAAAGGAAAATAAGAAAGTTTTATAAATATTAATAAAGTCAAAAAAACAATATAATCACCTCTACAAAGATACTGGAATTGACCTACAAATCTTAAAAATAATTCTTTATTTCTGTATTGACTATATATATTTGGCTTTGAGAACATTACCTGAGAAGACAGTATAATTTATATTTTCAAGTCATGAATTTTTTAAAGAATATCATTTACCTCTTCTTCAAATCTTTTTTTTATAATCTCTTCTTGATTAGCCAGTTTGAGATATAATTTGTATAATTTTTCCAGACTAACATATACTTCTTCATTATATCAATTTTTAAAATTAGCTATTCTTTTATTATAAGTTTTCTTATTTGAGGCATATTGTTTTGCAATATATCTTTTTATTATAAAGTCTTATGATAATTTACATATACTGCTTCTATTTTATCATATTTTTGACATATTGGCTATATGCAACTTTAATCACTTCAACTAAAGCAGATTTGATATCTTTATAGTTAACTATTTTGAATATTGTATTTTTTATTATATATTACTTAATTAGATCTTTTGTTTAAATAAAATACATATATATATTTTATTCATATCTGAAAAATATACTTGATATTATATACATAATAATAGTAAAATTTGTGAACATAGGTGTTGAAAACCCGAAGAATTCTGTGAACATTAAAGATTTAAAAAACATTATTCTTGCAAAGAATTTAATATTTGTAAAAAATTTATTTTCACTTGTTCTAAAACATGCAAAAAACATGCTAGAAATTTTTGTGTCAAGGAATATTATGCCTATAAGCTTAACAAAACTAAATTATTAACAAAATAGTTAATTTTGTTTTTTAATGATAGAAAAATAAATTGTTAACAAATAGTTACAGTGGTGGCTATAAATAATGGAAATTGTAAATTTATTTTTATTTATTTAAAAAAAATATTTATTACATAAAAAAAAAAAAATAGTTAAACTAATGTACTAACTAATATATTTTTTTTAGTAATTTATTTTATGTCTATTTTTGGTCACCAACTCTTCCAAATGATGAGGCATGCTTTTTACTAATCCAATCAGCATGCTTTTTTCAAGACCCACCCATTCTGTTCTAATTAATTCTTTAAACTCAATAGACATAATAGATTTTTTTTTTCGCACTTTCTTATTAATCTTTTTTTCTACTTTTTTTTTTAAAATCACCTACAGATTTTTGATAGGGTTGAGATCTGACGAGTTTAATGGCCAGTCTAAAACCCTTATATGAGAATTAGTTAGAAATTGCTTCATTGCCTTTGTTGTGTGTTTAGGGTCATTATCCTGTTGGAGAATTCAATCATGACCCATTACAGTCTGTAGGTTAGCAAGATTATCCACGAAAATTTGACGGTATAACTCCCTATCCATATTTTGAGTAAACATATGAAAATCAACAGTACCTCTCATTGAAAATGCATCCCACACATGAACCTTGTATGAGCACTTAACTATAGGATGTTGTGGCCATTCTATATTAGCCATATAACAAACTTGGGTCATATTATGGAATATCTGAAAGATAGATTCATCAGAAAAAATGACTCAGCTTCATTTTTTATTAACATGAGCTTCAATCCATTTTAAGCAACAATTTTTGTATTTTTTGGTAAGAAGAGGGATCCGTTTGGAGATTGTAACTATCCACCCATGGTTTGCAAGCACCCTGTTGATAGTTCTCACTGATATTTTTAGGTCTGGATTATTAGTATTCAATTTAGATACAAGTTCTTTAGCAGAAATTTCTGGATTCTTCTGAACGAGTTTATTAAGATTATTGAGTTCCTTGGAAGACAACTTGGAAGGTCATCCTGGATGAGGTAAGGGATTTAAATTATCTTTTTTTTTTTAATTTTTTTATATGGTTATACATGGTCATCTTAGAAAAACCAGTTTTTTTTATTAGAGAGGTAGGATTTCATTCATTGATATGCCACAATGCTTGAATAATGCTTCTTTGATAAGCAAGAGAATTATTCTCCATTTCTAATAATAATCTTACTGTTATAGTAATATGCAATATACAAAAAAAAAATTTTTTTAATAAATGAGAAAACGTAAGCTAAAAAAGAAAAAAATTATAGTGATACAAATTGATAATTGTGGCACAATGAATCTTTAAAATTAGAAAATTAAAATTTACATTATTTATGGCCAGCACTGTATATAATATATTTTTTATCCAATAAGTATTATATATTATTAATTATTTATTAAATTGGCTTTAAATAATGATTGCAAGAAGGCAAAGGATAGTGAAAGATATAGTAATTAATAAAATATTAAAGCCTATTTAGAAATACAATTATTTTATTGGTTAAATTCTTATTAAAAAGGCTTAAAATTTTCAAGAACCTCAAATTAATGTTTATAATAATTTATAATAAAATTAAAGTCATTAAACTGATCTTAAAACTCTTTTTCACTCAATAAGTATATAAGAATTTATTATCAAATAAGAAAATAAAAAATTTTTTTTCTCAAAAAAAACAACAAAAAATCCTGGAGGGTTATTCACATCCTTCAAAGGCCAACTCACTGAATCCACATATATATTACTTGACATCCTTATCACTAATATTGACAAATGTCTTGCCATAATTATTTATAAAAATAACAACACTAACATTGTATATACTATTATCTCAACTACTTATACTTGTCTAGCACAGTTTGAAAACTTATCCAAAGCTTGTCTGCTTTCAATAAAATGATCATGAAAGCCAGAAAGTTATTGCTGTTTCTTTAAAGTATGCAAAAAAAACTTGACAACCATTATATAAAAGTAAAATTCTCT